GGGATTCATCTTCTAGCGCCATATCAAACAGTATTCTGCTGTAAGCCATAGGGCTTTTGTGGGTTTGTTTGTTTAGTTTTATTGTGTATTGGGTGAAGGTTTTCAGGGCAGATCATCCGTTTTACTTTCCACAAATCATATAATTACTTTCATTTTAATGATTGCAATCCCCTCCAGGGACTATCAGTTATCCAGCTTTTTCCCTGGGATTCTTGTTTCCATTCCACCTTCTTTGTCAGCTCTTCTGTATTCTGTCCTTGGGTAAATGTTGCCCTTTTGATCTTGAATGGTTGACCATTCCATGGTGAGCAGACCTCACTAGTGTTGTTGGGCCCCCTTTATACTACTACTATATACCCCTATCTACTGCTTGGCTGAAAAGTGAGATGGGAGGGTGAGTTCAGTTCCAGATCCGAAGTGTGTCCAAGATCCATAGTCTTGGGTTTATCCAGTCTCTTTCTGACCAATAAGCCTGGTCTTTTGTTGTTGTTGTTTTTCCACATTTTCTTCCACTCTATCCAGAACCTTCTAATGTGATCCTTTCTATAACAGTTGGTAGTGGTAACCAGGCACCATTTAGTTCTTCCGGTGTCAGAGCCATGGTAACTGATGTTCACTTGTTCCATTAATCCGTTGGACTAATTGGTCCCAAGTGCCTTCAGTTTTCTTCACTCTTCTTTCCCTTCACATGTGGAAGAGACCTTAGATGGCCGCTCATGAACGTTTAAGATCCTAGATCAATAGGGTTTTCCTTAATTAATTTTCAGAAGTCAGTCGCCAAGTCTTTCTTACTAACTCTTAAAAAAAACTGTATTATGTGGGATTTTACACATGTATAATGGAAGTCCCATATCTTTCACGCAAGCCAACAATCAACCCACATCCCAATTTTGCTTCATCTGTTCACTCACTTGTCTCCCCCCTACCATACTATTTATTGTAAAGAGTCAGAGAAAAAGAGAAAGACCCTCAACGAGATGGATTAACACAGTGGCTGCACCAATGGGCTCAAACATTGCAATTGTGAGGAAGATGGCGGCCAGCAGTATTTCATTCTGTTTTACAAAGGGTCACTGTGAGCTGGGGCTGACTCAACAGCACCTACCAACAACAGCCAACGAGCTTCTTTATCACTTTTTACTGAGCTATAATTCACACGCCATACAATTTATTCTTTCAAAGTGTACAATTCAGTAGTTTTTAGTGTGTTCATAAGGGTGTTCAATCCTCACCATTATCTGATTCCAGAACATTTTCATCACCCTATTCCCATCAGCAATCACTCCCCATTGAGGTCCCACTGCACCCCCTTCCTCAGCCCTGAAGCAGCCACCACTAATCTGCTTTCTGTCTCAAATAGTTGATTATTCTAAGGAATGTGTACCTTAGATCCACCCCTTTCCCAGCTGTGCGTGGTCTCAGGACAGAATCCAAGCTCCTTAACACGGTCAGTCAGACTTCAGAGAACTTGTCCTCTTACCTGCACTGGGCAGAATGGTCCCCTAAAGAAGTCCAGGCACTGATTTCTGGAACACGTGTACATATTACATTGCATCACAAAAGGGACTTTGCAGATATAATTAAGGACTTGGATCTTAAAATAGGAAAATTATTCTGGATTATCTGAGTAGCGGTGATGGTTGTGTGCCATCGACTAGGTTCCTGTCCAGGGTGTCCAAGGAGCAGAAAGCCTCATCTTACTCCCTCAGATCTACTGGTAGACTCGAACTGCTGACCTTGTGGTAAGCAGCTGAGTTCATAATCCACTCTGCTGCCAGGGTTCCTGATTATCTGGGTGATCCCAATCGAATCACATGAACCCTGAAAAACAGAGCACTTTCTTCGGCTGGAATCCAAAGAGATGCGACAAAAGTCAGAGAACTTCAGCATGAAAGGGATTCTACATATTGTTATTGGTTTGAAGATGGAGCCAGTTATGCATTGAACTGTCTTCCCCTCCAAAATATATGTTGGAATCCTAACCCACTATATGTTTGGAAATAGGGTTTCTTTGTTATATTAATGTGGTGGTCCTATCAGGGTAGATATGTCCTAAACCTAATAGTTTCAGAGTTATAAAAAGAGCAGAGTAAACGCACGCACACACAGGGAGAAGACAGACATTTGATGATGGAAAGCAGATGAACCAACAAACCCATCAATGCCAAGGTTTGCCAGCTGAAATAGACAAAGGACCTCCCATAAGAACCACACCCTGAATTCAGGCTCAAACCTCCTGAACATCGAGAAAATGAATTTCTGCTCTGTAAGGACACCCACTTTGTTCTTTCTGTTACTGCAGTACTAGTAAACCAAGACAGAGGGCGACAAGAAGGTAAGAGGATTCAAGCTGGGTTCCAAAGCTGACAGCAAGCAATCAAGCAGGAAACTCTGTGCTACACTCACAAGTATTTGAATTCTGAACTGGAGTCCTGGTGTGGCGCTGTATGATAAACAATGGACTGCTAACCACATGGTTGGTGGTTCAAACCCACCAACTGCTCCTTGGAAACAACCACCACAATGACCTGAATGAGCTAAGAAGCAGCTTCATCCCCAGCTGTTGTTATTAAATGCCATGGAGTCGGTTCCGATTCATAGCAACCCTGTTTGGGGTTTCTGAGGAGCTGGTAAATTTGAACCACCAACCTTACAGTCCAGGGAATTACCCTACAGCACCACCGGAGTCCTGGTGTGGCACTGTGGGTTAATGTGCCAGACTGCAAAGCCGTTTGAACTGCAAGGTTGGTGGTTCAAGCTCACCAGCTGCTCCTTGGAAACCCTCTACAGGCTCGCTATGGGTCGGAACTCACTTAACAGCACTTCACAACAATAACAACAACAACCAGGACTTTGGCCTTGTGAGAGTTTAAGTTGAGGACACAATTGAGCCATGCTATACTTTTTAGATAATAAATGGGTGTTATTTTAAGCTACTACATTTGTGGTCTTTTGTTACAGTAACAAGAGAAAACAAATGCATAATCCATTTACTTTAGGTTTCTGCCTCCAGCCTCAGAACTCCAGCCTCAGTCTGGTCTTTTAAAACCATTCCAGACTCTACAACTGATGTGGTCTCCTTACTGCTATCCTGGGATGTAGCCCTGGGCAGTGATTGCTCAGTTCAGGTAGAGGGGGTGGGGGAGGGAGAGGGGAAAGCAAGATTGTCTCAGATAAGAAACTGTTCAGTTCTGTCTTCCACCCTTGCCCACCTCCTCAGCACCCACACAGTGCCTGAGGGTTCGAAGAACGTATACACAGTCAGGGTTTCCGAAATCTTTAGAATCATCTGGGTAAGTTCATGAAAATGCTTGTGTCGAGGTCCCACTACTGGTTTAGTAGGCTAAAATGAATAAAATGATGGATGTTTGTAACCATTTTTCATCTACAAAAATGGCAGTTTTATATGGTTGGACCTGATAACTGGTCTGAGGTGGGGACGATTTATCTATATATTTTAAAAGCTGCCAAGTGATTGCAATGCACAGCCAAGATTGAGAAGCACTACTCTAGATGAATAAGTGAGACAATAAGCCGAAAGGTGAATGAATGAACAGATGAATAAATAGATACTGAAGATGGAAAAGGGGACAAGTGATTAACTGAATGAGTGAATGAATAATGTAGTGAACGGGTAGATGGAAGTAAGAGATTAAACAAGCAAGGGAGTGAGCAGAGATGAGGTACCATAGATGCCAAAACACACGGAGAGTTCCAAGGAACCAAGAGGCAGAAGGTGAAGTGACAAGGGTCTTCTTCCAGAGCTGACAGAGAGACAAAGCCTTCCCCTAGAGCGGGCACTCAGAATTTGGGGTTCTAGCCTCCTAAACTGTATGGAAGTTTATTTCTGTTTGTTAAAGTCATCCACTTGTGGTATTTTGCTATAGCAGCACCAGAGAGCTAAGGCAGAGAATCACATGGGCAAATAGAGGGTAAAGAGATGAATGGATGGATACAAGAATGGTACAATGCTAAGTGCTGTCTAGCTGGTTCTGGCTCACAGTAACCCTGTAAAGGGTTTCCTAGGTGTCAAATCTTTGTGGGAGCAGAAAACTTCATCATGTTTAGATAGAGGCATGCATAGAGAGCGATAAGGTCAGATGGATAGAGGAGTGGATGAAGGGTTGGGAAAACAGTCAGAGGATGGAGAAATAGATAAGTGGGTACGTGGTTGGCCGTTTGGATGAATGGATGAAGATATGGTTGGATGGATGTTTGAAGAGATTGATGGATATTGAGATGGAAGGGTGGAGAAATAAGTGAATTAAATGATAAAGAAACATTTGGAAAGATAGATAGATAGATGAGTGAATAAATGGTTGAATGTTTGGATGGAGGGTTGGCTGGCTGGCTGGCCTTTTGGTTGGATGGATGCATGGAGAGATTGTTGGAAGTTGAGATGGATAGGTGGATGGATGGGTGGATGAAATGACAGGTCATTTGGTTGGATGGATGCATGGAGAGATCGTTGGAAGTTGAGATGAATAGGTGGATGTATGGGTGGATGAAATGACAGGTCATTTGGTTGGATGGATGCATGGAGAGATCGTTGGAAGTTGAGATGAATAGGTGGATGTATGGGTGGATTAAATTACAGGTCATACAATGGTGACGCTTGCTGCCTTGGGAGCCAGACTGCTTGGGTTTGAATGCTACTTTTGTCATTTATGAGCTGTATGATTTTAAGCAATGTGCTTAATTTTTCTATACCTGTTGCTGAGGGATAAAGAATCATAGTTCCTTCTTCCTGGAGTTGAGTATAAAGAATGAATGAGTTGATATAGTAAAGCCAGAAGATGGATTCTGAATGGAAGACGGATGGACAGGTGACTTGATGGATGAATGAATGATTCATGACCGAACCAAGAAGGAAGGAACAATGAGAAAGATGGTGGAGTCACATACGCTCATGGGACACCCTTAGACATTTTATTAGGGTCTTAGAAGAGGGTCCTTGGAGATCGTTCTGTGTCTCCAAGGGCTACAGCCTCAGGGATAGATCAGATCTGGACATAGGACAAGGTGACATCACCCGTGATCTCCAACATGTCCACCTTCTGGAAGGCCTTGAAGCGATGGGAGTAGTCAAAGAGATGCTGGCCATTGGCATAGATCTTGAAGCGATCCATGCCACAGCGAATGGATAACTGCAGGGGAGAAAAATGAGTATGAGGTCAAGGCCAGGACAGAGGCTTTGTTGCTAAAGAAGGGAAAAGACCCCAGACTCACATCAAAGAACTGTCCAGGACCAAATGGGTTGCTGGATAATGTCCTCTCCTCAGATCCCCACGAGCCATTTAACTGGCTATTCCGAACCACCACACCCTGGTTCAGGCGGGGGTTAATGTGTAAGGCGACGTCTCCTGAGAAGCCCACCTTGAAGTTGATGGCAAAGCTAGGGACAGAGAGAGAGGTGGAGTCAGGCAGGATTCCTGGATCCCCAAGGGATGAGGAGACTGGAGTCTGGACTCTTGGGTCTGAGGGAGGATGGGGCTGGGGGCTTCTACCAACTTCCGCTCGGGACCTGTACCTCTTGGCTGAGAAGGGTACAGAGCCCCTGATGATGACGGTTTTTCGAGCTGTAAGTCCCCCTTGCAGTCTTCCCACAAATGGCACAGGCTGTGGGAAGAGAACACAGGAAATCATCCTCTCTCAGGTTATGAGAAGCCAGATGCAGAAAGAAATTTTCAAACAGGTGCCTCATATCTCCTGGGACTCATCCCCAACCTCTGGCCTTTCCGTCCCTCAATTCCATCCTCTCCTACTCTTGCCCCAAATTTCCTACCCTCTCCAGTTCCCCATAGGTTAGATCCCTGTATGCCCTTAAGTGGACCACTATAGGCCCATAATCCCTGCAGAATGCCATACCGGGTTGAAGACTGGGGGTCCCTCCATCGTCTGTGAAGTGAGGAAGAAAAGATGTTATTCCACAATAGTTAGCAAGTATTTACAGCACATCTACTATGTGCAGGGCTTTCTCTAGGTGTTCGGTTAGTGCAATTGACCAGGTTAGGTACCCCCCACCCAATTCTCACCATCCCTACCATTTGCTCACATAGTCCCTCACTTACAGGCAGGCTGTTTGGTGGTGTATGGCACTGCCCAGGACCCTATATGTGAAGACAGAAGGCAGGAATTATGAGGGGGTCTTTGGGCCCCTTCAACTACCCCAGGACCTCCTTAGCTACTGACCACCCACCTCAAAGGGAAACGAATCATGACCCACCAGCAGGTACTTACTGGGTATGCTGGGGTAACCATGGGTCCCTGCGGGAACTGCAAAAAAAAAGCAGTGATGAGGGGACCTCAAACTAAAGACTAGAGGGTGTTGAGGATGCCTGCTTCCGGGAAGCTCACCCTCACTGTCCTAGAGAATTCCAGATACAAAGAAATGGTACCGGCATCCACATGGCCTATTAGTGGAGAGGAACTGGTCAAGTGTGGGGATCACAAACGCAATGAACCTCACACCACTCCTTTAGAACAAATTCTATTTCCCGTACCCTTCCCTCTCCTCTCATTCCATCCTCTGTACCTTTCCTCTCCTCTCATTCCATCCTCTGTACCTTTCCTCTCCTCTCATTCCATCCTCTGTACCCTTCCCTCTGCTCTCATTCCATTCCCCGTACCCTTCCCTCTCCTCTCATTCTGTCCTCTGTACCCTT